CCCTGTTCACCGCACTGGCCCACTCACCCCCAGAAGAAATAGTTATTATTTTAGTGGCTTTTTTCTAGTAATTTTCCTAGATATTCTTGAATATTATTTCTTCAAAAAAACTCCAAAATCTTTTTGTCCAGAATAACCCCTTTTACAATTTTTTTTGATGCATTTATTAAAAAAATTGATTTGATAGAATGAATTTCTTTTAATGTGGGCTCTTCATGTAATGAAGTATCTCCCCGTTTACTAAACCTGTCCTGTCCCCCAGGGAATTCATGGGGCCTCTGCAGGCCGGGCCCTCCTTGCCTTGTTCTTGTTTAGCATTTCCCTAAATATTTATGTGGGAGCTGGGGCTGGGCTCAGTGGTAGAGCGCTTGCCAAGTACGTGTGAGGCACTGGGTTCCCTCCTCAGCACCACATAAAAAATAAATTAGAAAAGTAAAGTCATTATGTGCAACTACAACTAAAAATATTTTCTTTAAAAAATGTATGTGTGTAATTCAAATAGCAAAGGTGATTTTTTTCTTAGCATGTTTTTAAACATTAAAAATGGTCTCTTGTTGGGCGTGATGGCAGCTGGACCTCCAGCTACTCAGGAAGCTGAGGGAGGAGGGTCGCTGAGTCCAGAGGTCTGGGATCACCTGGGCAGATAGGAGACCGGGAGGAGAAGGAGGAGAACAGGGTCCTGCGGGCTTCCCAGCCCCTCCCCTGAGCAGGTGCACAACAGGGGCATGATGCTTGGCCAGCAAGGCTGGCTGTGTGTCCAGCCCACTGGGTTCTGCAGCAGTCCTCACATTTGTAGTGAGAACAGGACCTCGGGTGATACTGCACCCCTCAACACATGGGAATCCTGCAGGCGCCCACTCCTTCCCTTCCCGGGACCCGGTGCTGCGGCACTTGGGGTGGCATCTAATGAGAGGACTGAAGTGGGGCACCTGGGTTTGCCTACCATCCTCTGTCTTCACGCCTACCCCCCCTGCGTCCTGCTCTCTCTGCCCAACCCCAGCCACAGTGTGGCACCACAGTGTGGCACCTGACCACGGCCTCCTGACCACAGACCTCCAATCCTCTTCTCCCAGGGGCTTCCCTACCCAGGAGGGTCTGTCTCTCTGGTACCTATCTGTCTTGCTGCAGGCTTTGCTGGGGTCTGAGTGTCCCCCCAAAATACATGTTGAAATTTCAGCCCATTGTGGGGAATGACATGGGTGATGTTTGGAGGTCGGTCCTTTTAAATAAGGCCATAAAGGCAGGCCCCCATCCTGAGCTGTGGCTTCAGAGGAACAGCAGAGAGCTGAGCTGAGCTGGGGTCTTCTGTGCTATGCGATGTCCTGAGCCACCTCGGGACTCACAGGGAGTCCCTCAACAAAAAGTGTCTTTCCAGATGCAGAACCTCCCAGCCATGAGCAGTAAACCTCTCTGCCTCATAGGTCAGGCTGTGGTACTCAGCTACAGCAGCACAGCAGCGAGGGAGGGGGCTTGCCTCTCTTGCTCTGCGCCCCTGCACCTGCCCTTGCCTACAGCACCAGAGTTACAGGACTCTGTAAGAACTTGCTAGACATCTGTCGAGGGGGAAAGAGTGAAACTTGGAAACGGCCTTACCTATTGGAACACCGGGGATGCCTTACAATCACCAAAATCCGTATTTTCAAGCATTTTTAAAGACAGGGAAATTGTTTCTTTGGCAGCGTGAGATTTATGCGAGTCAAGAGTAATATATAAGTACAGGGAAAGCACTGGAAAGAGAGACACCAGCAGTCACCCCAGGCGGAGAGTAGAACTTATGTGAAGTTAGTTCAAAATGGACATGTATCAGCTTCATACCTGGGAAAACAGGTTTTATTTTAATTAACTTTGCATATCTTAAGCTGAGTCTCTTCTGAAAAAAATCTCTGTGAGGAATAGGGAAAATGGAAGCAAAACCAGGTTGGAAATAGAATTTCATCTAAATAATGATTTAGGCGCTCTGAAGAGGAGAACAGAGAGGTCGTGCAGCATCGTTGCGATGGCCATTCACCTGTGAGGGCGAGGGTGGCCTTGGCTCCAGGACAGCCACATTGAAGCCATCTGCAAAGCAAAACCACGCATGCTATCAGCCACACAGAAATTTGAAATATACAAAACCCGATTTGTCGTGTGGCTACATGGCTGTATCGTAAAGTACTAGAGGTGGCAGGTAGGCAGCCTGAGCTCCCACCTGGGTCAGCTCGGTCGGAGGGGGGCTGTGGAGAGGCCGAGGGAGCCAGCTTTGATTTCTTTCAAGCTGTGGGGTGGATGTGTAGGGTCATGTTATGATTCTTAGTATGTTCATGGGTGTCTGTAATGCTGTATAACAAAATTCCAAAATTTATAACCAACTTAGTAAAAAAATTAAGCAGGAAAGGAACTCTGCACTGGCTCCACGCAGGCCTTTTGTCCACAGGAGCGACACATTCTCCCCAGTCATCTGTTCCAGTTCTCAGGCTCCCTCCTTTGGCTTTCCTTATGAGTAGTTCACTCTCTGATAGAGATTTTTTAGTAAGAGATTTGACGTAGCACGAGAAGCGACAAGTTGCTGTGTGTAGCCACTTAGCATTTGCTGTGCCTGGGATGTCACCAGAACTGCCAGGCTTCGTCCAGCCCTGAGGCACCAGGACCTGGATTCACGTAGGCAATGCCCAGCCCACAGATGGGCCCACAGTGAGCGTGCAGGGGCTGTCCCTGCAGAGTGGGGCCACACTGCACGCGGAGCCATTCCAAGGGAACAAAGCCAGTGCCTCCCTCTGTGCCACTGCAGGAAGTGGGGAGGGAGCGCCAGCCCCAGGCGGTGGACGGTCTTGGTTCTCAACGTGGGGACCAGCTTCAGCTGTGGGCCAGGGTCCTCCGTGTGTGGACTCCTCCTCCTGATGGGCCAGCTCCGGGGGCTTTTGTTGGGTTGCTGGGGGAAAGCGCTTACTGCTCAGGCACAGGAGCGGGCATCCGTGACACAGCACACTGGGCACTGGCAGGTGGAGGCCGGCCTGGAGCAGAGCAGGTGTGGCTCGCTCTAGCCAGAAAGCCCCGCCTCCCTTCGCACTCCCAAACCCCCTTTCCTGGTCTCCCACCAATGTGCCTGTAAGGTGTCAGGACAGGCCAACATGTCGAGAGGTCGAGAGGCAGGCAGTGCCAGAGGAGACACGGGCAAAGAAGACCCACCGCAGGGCTCCCTGCAGCCCAAGAGACCCATCAACCCGCCGCCCATGTGCATCTCACGGCCTCAGAGCACGTGGGCGTGCTCACATCCCCACAGTCAGGGACGCGCAGCCACACACTCAGGTGCTCACACACACACTTGGGCACACACACACAGTCAGGCACTCAGCCTTCATCTGCTTTTGTGCACACTTATCCACATACATGTGTTTAAACACATTTGTACACTCACACTGTTGGACCACGATGCAAAGAAAAGACCCCTGACTCCGATTTAAATCAAATTAAAGCAAGCTTAGATTGTGTACACACGAGAGAGCTGGCCAGCGGCTGCCTACCAGGAGGTCAGCAGCTGATCTGATCACAGGGAAGTTTTCACAGCCCAAAGGTTACAGAACGGGGGTGTCTTGGGAGCCCACAGCTGTCAGGGCTCTGGCACGGGTAAGGCAAGGGCAGATGAGGTTTGTGATCTGCGTGGCTTAACATCTCAAGGTAGGGAGCAGACTCGGATTCCGTCTCAGACTTAACGAGGAGCAGCTGGGATTTCAGGGAGGGCGGTTATCTGGTCAGGAGGAGCCGGGCAACAGCAGGAATCCCAAGCAAGTTTTTAAAACATCAAATCATGATCAGACCAAATAGAAATCAGTATTTTACAGTAAAACAGAGATGAACGTTTCATGACTCAGTAACGAGATGGCTCCCAATCTTACGCTGGAGTTAGGCTGGGTTCACCAACACACTCACAAGCCACACTCGGGGCACAGGCTTGCCCCCTGTGCACACTGGCACTCACACTCACATTCACATACACTCACTCATTCAAGTCACACAGCTTTGCACACTCCCACACATAAACACACTTGTGATTCACACACACACACACACATGTTCTTTCACACACACTCAGACTTGCACATATGACTACCCAGGAACAAATGGAAAAAGTTGATTTTCACACCACAAGGTTAAGAACTGATGCTGCGTTTATAGAGGTGAATTTTTTTTTTTTGGTGTTTTGTTTTTGTTTTTTAGGTACCAGGTACTGAACCCAGGGTGCTTTACCACTGAGTTACATCCCCAGACCTTCTTAATTCTTTATTTTGGGACAGGCTCTCACTAAGTTGCTGAGGTTGGCCCGGAATTTGTGATCCTCGTGCCTCAGCCTCCCAGAGGTTAAGAGCTCAGCCAAGGAGGTGGTCCAGGATCCCAGGGTCCTGTGGCTGATGAAAACTCCAGCAGTCCTGATGCTGGCACCAGCTGCTGGGTGGCTCATCGTGCTGGTGAAAGAAGCCACCAAGGTTGGCCTTCGGGCCACAGCTGTGCACCATGCCTGTGCTCTGTCCTAGTCTAAAAGGCCTAATAGAATCTGGTCACTTGGGACCTTGAGGTCTTGATGCAGCGTGAAGAAGCCAGACACACAAGCCCCAGTACGCAGAGACAAGGTCCAAACAGCCACATCACGAGGCAGAGGTGGGGGGCAGGGGCCCAGAGGTCAGCTCTAGTCCTGGACATCCACACAGCTCCAGCCCAGGGCCGCACTGGGGTCCTGACAATGTGTGGACGGGACAAGTTGCCGAGTGTTCTCATCACAGAGTGGACCATGAAACAGCAGGGGAGGCTGGCCGGGCCGGGGGACCGCGCTCACGGCAGGGACAGAGGCGATGGCTTCGCTGGCGCACACTGATCCAGACTCGCCTACATCAACTACGCACAGCCGCCAGTCAAACCCCAAAGAGGCTTTGAAAGGAATAAGTGATGACACTTCCGTTTTAAGTCATGGAGACCGTGTTGAGAGCGGTTTCAAATGTTCTGTTCTTGAGGATTTTTCTGTAACACAGGATGCAGAGTGTGACCCCCGGGGGCGAGCAAGGCTTCAGAGCAGCAGGTTCTGAGCTCACACATCTCACCCAATCCTCCCAGCAACTGTGGTGGGTGTGGCCGAGAGACCACCAGTGACCTCCAGGAAGCCTCGGCGCAGGACTGGAATGGAACTCCAGCTCCTTGGTGAGACTCCTTGGTGCTTCCTCCCGGTGAGAGCGAGATCTACTGTCAGGGGAGCCCCCCCGAGGTGGGGACGGGAGGACTGAGGAGCCCTGGGGGCCCTGGGCATAGAGATACCGAAACAAGCCGACAGGCTGCACTTTAACCAGCAGGGGCCTTAGGATTTCTAGAAGCTTCTCTGGGCCTTTCTCCTCTCTATGAGCTAAGCCAGAATGCACGGTAGCTCTGATTTCCTGTGCATCGCCCTGTAGGACATCCCCAGGCCTTCTCCTGAGAGGGGGAGTGGGAATCCCGTGAGACTCATGCCCACTGCACTGTTCTGTGATCACCACCGTGAAATGGACCACACCTGGAGCTGGGGGCTCCACCCGGGAGGACAGATTGAGTGTCCACATTGATAAAACAGGCCCTGCTGATGTGGCTTAAAGGTCACCCGCAGCACATAGATATCTCGTAGTCTCGTGTGAAGCAAGAACTAATGTTACTTTAAGAATTAGGATTAAATTGCAAATATCCAGAACACAAATTCTGTATGTAAAATACACATCAGATTTATACTCACAAGCTGATCTGGCATGAATTCCGATGGTTTTGGTGTCGTTATTTTTTAAAAAGCTCATTTGCAGGTGGCCAATGCTAATTATTGTGAGAGAAAACTTGGTTTTGCTTTAGTAAAGAACCAACTCAAACTAAAGTGGAATTTTAAAGAGCTTGAGGAGAATAAATCAGTGTCAGTTTGTCTTATTTCATAACAGTCACCATGGAAGCAGATCACTGACCTGCTTCCTCCCTACCTGAGTGGACACAGGCCCCTCCCTGGTGTCCTGTCTCCTGGGTCAGGGAGTCCTGGCAGCCGGCTGCGAAGCCTTCCACGGAAGCAGAGTTCCTCTGCAGACTCAGAGCTTGTGCTCTTGGCCTGGAAGCTCCAGAGGGCTCGGCTCCTGCTTCCTGGGGCTCCTCGCCTGGCTCAGCGGTGTGTCGGCAGGCGCTGCAGTGCAGAGGGAGTGGCCACCCTCGGGCAGGCCGCAGCGGGCCTCCCCTTCCTTCCAGGACCGCCTTAGCTGACACCCCCGTGCTCACCAAGGTCCTTTCTGTACCAAGCTGCAGAATCAGGAAAGAGCCGTCTTGCTTGTCCTCAGCCCATGTCCCCAATCCATGCCAGCTTCTAGACATGGAGGTCGGTCATTCCACCCCAGCCACAGGGACATCCTGCAGGGCTGGGGGCGCCCCTCCTGCCCTGGCCTGGGCCCCACCTGCCCTCCTCTGCAGGGCCACATGAAGGGACCACCGCGCTGAGCTTTATTTACGGCTGCCGTTTTCCTGACCTGCACCGCCCTGCTCTCGGCTTGCTTGTTGTGGGAGACGGAAAGTCACAGACATGCCAAGAGGAAAAAGAAACAAAGCCCCCAGTGGTGTCCTGTATAGCTGCAGCGCTCACAAGCAGAGCAATAAGGGGGAGATAAATCAGCAACTCCATATAAGGTGTTACAAATAATGGGAATAAAGTGGCCATAGAGATTAATTTCCTTATCTGAAGACTCTACTTTTAAAAATAAAGAGAGACCTGACCCGATAGAGTGGTGCCCCAAGCGTACCTCGGGCATCTTGAGAGAGGTTTGGGAGGTTTCTGTACAAATGTCACTTTCTTTATGCTCATACACAGCCGTGATTTTCCCAACAGCCTGGTGAACACACTACAAAAGCAATTTTTTGGAAACTGGGAAAAATACCCACTGCACACACAGGCACTGCTGGCAGGCAGAAGGCTCCGCCTCTTCCCGACCTGGGCACTCCTCCTGCAGAAAGAGGCCGTCCCCTTCTGGCCCTTTGGGTCTGGGGCCACCTTGCTCTCTGCTGCGGACCATGCTGAAGTGACAGGGGCAGGGTGTGCACCTCTGTGGGGAGGTCGCTCTGCTTGCTCTCTCTTGGGTCCTTGAGGAGGAGAGAGGTGGAGCACCCAGCGGGCCACGCAGAGGTGAGTGGACCTAGCTCCGACCAGAAGCTCCCCCGGCAGAGGCCAGCCTGCACTGCCACATGGACCTGACCATGGAAGTTATTCCAAGCTACTGGGTGTCAGGTGGTGGCTGTCAGCAATAGCTCACTTTCTGTCCCTGTAGTGACCTCCCACCCCAGCAGAAGGCTCATTGTTCTGGGACATGTCCCCTTGAGGCTCAGGAGTGCTGGTCCCAGCTCTGACTCTGAAATGTTTAGCTGTGTGACCTTGAGCAAGTCCTCCTCCTTCTCTGAGCACTCGTTGCTTTGTCTGTATGCTGCACACGAGGGGTTTGTGTGTCCGACCAAGTGTCCCTGAGAACTGGCAGAGCAGCTTGGATCCCCATGCTGGGTGCACACCTCCACAGGTGTCTCTGCAAATCCACTGGCAGTGCAATCCTGCCGTTCACCCAGCACCCCACATCCCCTCATGCTATGGAAGTGCACACGTGGATGGGCACCCATGTGCATCAACCCTTATGTGGCAAACACCAGGAAGTAGCCAGAGTATCCTCAAGAAAAAGGTTGCACCAAGAGAGTGTATTATACTATAGAATATTGTACACTGTTAAAAGAATTCTCTGGAAGGTCTTTTATGACATATTTTTTAAGTGTGAGAAGCAGGTTGCAGGACATAAAACTGTTTTGCAAAGGAAGAAAAACAATAAGCAACACTTAATATGTGTCCAGAGCTTTCAGGGATTGTTCAAGGAGAGGGTCTTGGAAGAACTTCAGTGTTCAGGTGTTGGGATTCAGTTAACGTCATCACGCACAGCCGTGCAGTAAAGTAGTCTTCAGTTGTCGGGTGCCGTGACACATGCCTATAATCCCAGCGGCTCGGGAGGCTGAGACAGGAGGATCGTGAGTTCAAAGCCAGCCTCAGCAAAAAGGAGCTAAGCAACTCAGTGAGACCCTGCCTCTAAATAAAATACAAAATAGGGCTGGGATGTGGCTCAGTGGTGGAGTGCCCCTGAGTTTAATTCCTAGTATAAAAATAATTAGTCTTCAACTGTTGGAGATAATGATGGGTATTTAAATTGTCACATATGATGCGTTACCCTGATGACATTAACAAACATGAGCAGGTATTAAAGGACAAGGAGACACACCGTCCCATGCACTTAGAAAATCCTCAGGGCAGACATGCCCCAAATATCCATGGCAATATGATTGGTTCATGTACGTGGATTTTCTAATCTTGGCCAATTACCATGTACAAAGCGGGAGCGACATGGGGAGGCCCAGGAAGGTTCAGCGATTCTCCAGGAATGTGAAGGAGAAAGGGCCAAAGGGGTGGGGTCCTTCCTGAGCTCAGTAACATCTGAATCATGGAGAGGTGGGAGAGATTGGCGGTGGAAGTGACCACACGGGAAAGGCGTCCTGAGACACACAGCCCGTGGGGTTGGGGATGCCCTCTGTGTCCTGTGCTCACGTGGAGTGAGGAGGGTGAGGGGGAGAATGAACATTTACAGTGCTGGAACGTCCTGCAGGAAAGGCCGCGGCGGGAGATGGTGTGCTCGCGAGATGGCTGGCTCCTGCGTCTCTCTCCAGAGGCTGTAGCCTCTCCGACTGTCCCTGGAAGATCAGCTGCTGACTCACACTGAGGATGTGTGGGCTGCTTCCGCAACACAAAAACCTTGTTTGGAGAAAAACGTTACATCCTCCCCCCCCCCTTTAAATTTTATAAATCAAAACAAGAAATTATTCTTTACTTCTCTGGAAGTATTTGCACTTGGATAGATGGTTTTCATTAAAATAGCCTTGAACAAACTGTTTCCCAGTCAGGTTTTACAAACCCCAACACAAAAAGGGTTTGTAATTAAGATTAAGGGCTTAGTGTGGAGCAAAATGGAAATTAACTCAGACCAGGTTGCGCAGTGGGAACCAGAGGACAGAGAGCAGTGTCCACTGTGAGCCCCTCTGCACCTACCTCTGTGCGGAAGAGGAGACCCACTCCAGAGCTGGGAGCAGCCTCAGGAGCCCACGCGGGGCCTGGGCCTGGGGCCAGGGTAGTTCCGCGCCTCAGCACAGATGAACTACAGCGGGAAGGAAGGTCTCCAGAACTTCCCACAGCTGGTGCAACACCTCCCACCGCCTCGCAGCGCCCGCCACGCCTGCTCTTGGGTTTGTGGTGGCTTCTGTGCAGGCTCGTGAGTGAAAACATCCATGGTCTGCAGACCCGCCTGGGCAGCATTAAATGACTATTTCTTCTAACCTCGGGAGAAGGAGAATTCACCATTTTTTCAGCGCAGACTCATCTTAAGTCTTAGCGCATTGGAAAACACCCCGACTACCCAGGTGGCCATGCGCAGCTGCACAGTAGTGGGTGGTTTGATGTCCTGCTTCCTGCCTCCTTGTGCCCTGCACAGCCCTTGCTCAAGTCGTCCGATTTCCATGCGACCAAGGCAGGTGCATAGTGACCTGCAAGCTTGCCTCTGGGTGGCAGCAAGCCTGCCTGGGCCGCTGTGGGCACTGACCTCTGGGCTCTGCCATGCTGGGCACGTGGCGAATGGAGGGGAGACATGGGCACCATCGTTCACACCACAGGCATGAATTCTGCCACAGGAAGAAACCTCCCAAACTACTCTTCAAAGCCATACTCAAAATCAGTTCCGGTTACTGTCATGAGGGCTGCTTGTAGCTAGTAGACTTCCTGGAGACCGCCCTGCAGGGTGACAGCAACCATCGAGAGGTGAGAAGTGCTGCTCTGTTCAGCGCCAGTAGAGGCAGGTCTCCCTTGACTGTCCCTTCTGTGAGGCATCTGGGTCTGGACTTCCGTGAGGGTGGGCGTTCCCAGAAGGGCACCTTGCCAGCGAGCAGGAGTCTGAGGCCTGGTAGGTGGTGGAGCCTGGCCCCATGGCTGCCCCTGGGGGTCTGTGTGAGGCAACTATGGAGGATGTGCTCTGTGTGGCACCCGGTGCTGACCTCGGCAGTGCAAGTGAGGAACACCGTGAGGAAGTCACTGTGAGCGCGGTGACGCGACATGGTGGGACGGAGCTGCCCAGGCAGGCGTCTGTGTCTGGTGTGCTGGGTGCACAGTCCAAGGTCCCGTTGGAAGGATGCTCCAGGTCGTGTCTGAGGGCAAACTGCTGAAGGTCCTTGCTGACCACGTGCTAGAGCCTGAGGAGTAGAATGTAGTCCCCTGGGGCTTGGAGGGACTGGCCACCTGGCTCTCTCCATGCATTATGACTTGCCTGATGGTGCCAGGGGCCTTGCTTCAGGAAGCGCCTCCCGGGGACTGTCCAGGCGCTGTGTGATGCGTGTTCTAGCACAGAAACAAAAGACGCCCTCACTCCTGGAGGTTAGCCAGGGGTGGGTGGCAGACCTCAGACCCTGCAAGTACCCCCACACTGCCCCATGTCTTGCTGGGGCTTAAGGTGCCAAAAAGGAGAATGTGACTCTCTGAAGAGCTGGGACAGTGGACCAAAGTCCAGCTAGGGAGGGACCTGGCGGCCCGGTGTTAGGGACAGGCCATCTTGGAAGCTCATGATGAGCACACGTTGGTGTCTGCCCATCCCTCTTGTAGAGGGAACATGGGGATCACTCCAGGGTTGTCATCAAACGAGGGACGTTTCTGGTGGAGTCTTACTGTGGCTCAGTGCTCCGGCCCAGCTGTAACTGGAGGTGGGGAGACAACGCCTGGAGATGGAAACAAGAAGCACTCTTCCGTTTGTGTTTTCCACGGCCACCATGCCCTGCAGCGACAAGCTGCTCCCGGGGAGCACTCTTGACATTCAGAACGGCCTCAGTCCCTTGCTCGGCCCGGAGTCCATGCAGAAGAGGACACGCCCTGCGCAGGCCAGCGGAGCTGGGAGGAGGCACCTCCAGGGGGCGCCAGGCGCCCTGGGCAGGAGCGTGGGCTCTCAGGACAGACTCCCAG